AGCACCACGCCTCAAAGGTAGACAGGACCGTAGCATCATAGCCGGTCCTTTCAAGTCTAAGCTAGCGGCTGGGAATCAGGTTTGGGACAAGATATGGTGTTGAGGCCGCAAGGAGCCCGGCAAAATTCTTCGACACAAGAGCATGTCTCCTCAACTGAGGCCCCGGCACACAACTAGATCCAGTGCAGTTGCTAACTTGGCCTGCCCACACCAAGGCTATCTACCTTCAGAAGCCTGCGCTTTGAGAATCGCGGCTTAATGATATCCTTGGCAGCTGAAGGTACCAAGCCACACGTTTCCCCTGCAACAGCACCTAGGACGATCCCTTGGCATGATCAAGAAAATACACATAAAACAAAGTAGACCCACCTCCCTTTCCCCGTTGGCCTGATGGCTGTAGCGTGTAGACCCAGACCTAGCAAGCAGATACTTCAGAACTCAGAAGTGGGCAAGCGTACTTCAGGCCATATCTAGGTATTTTCCAGGCCTGGCACTGGAACCTTCAGATGACCGGATTACGCATTGTGGCAGCTGGCTGGCTCCATGAAAGTCAAGCGGAAGGCTGGACAAAAAACTAGCAAAAGTACTTGATATGCAGCATCGCTTTGACACACTTACGCAAGACTTGCATGTTAGCCAAGATAGCTGGCGGCAGCCGTTGAAACCTGGCCTCGTTCCCGGTGCCGAGCGCAGCCCAGAGACCTAGAGTGCGGCCTTGGCAAAGCGCAGCCGCTGTGACGCCTCCGGGGACAAAGATTCGGAGAATCCGAACGCATCCGAACGCTCTGCTTGCTCTGCTTGCTTAGAACTGACAAGTAGAGCTGACCTGTGGGGGACTTTTCTCCGAACCCGCCTGGGTCGTGCTCGATTTGAGCCAGGAGCCGCTTGTCCCTGACGTTGTAGAGTTCGCTGGAAGCGTTGGCTCCATCTGGCGCAACATCCAAATTCAGCGGAAGCAAGCAAAGCTCTCTGGTAATGCTTTGCCTGTCGACACCAATACCAACCCATCACCTTGGTCTGCGCCCATCAACTACTCTGATGCTGCGCAATGAATGAAAACGCAGTGCACGTCAGCCCATGTGTATGCCCTCGACTGACGGAAAGTGCGGTGACACTCTGGCTGCTGTTCGGAGGAATGCGAAGAAGCACCTGCAGCAGCGACATTTCATCAAAGCGAAGTCAAGCGAAGGAAGTCTAAGACTTCCTTTAGTCGTACTTGTCTTCTATGTACCATGATAGGCTTGACACTCCGCCTCTTCGCGCCCATCGGCCAAAAACTGCACCCGAACCTTGCGAGCAAAGTCAACTCAGACGGCCAGAAAGTCGAAAGTTAGAGGATGTCGCTGTCTGACACTCACAGCATCCGCTGTGGTCAAAGCAGCTGCCCGAGCAGCTGGCCATGCCATTGAAGGATTTCACGATGAAATCAAGGCCCAGCACTGTGAGGCCCTCCTGCAATTGTTGAGACTTTGGACCTTCTGTTGTGTTCTGTGTTCAGTGAGGGCATCGAGTTTGAAATAACGGGCATTTCAGATGTTGCAACAGCATTTAAAGGTTGCAGGCAGCAGGACATGCCAGATGCGAAAAGCAACATTCTGAGCGGGAGTTGGTAGTTACAGGACCCTTCCAGGGCACAGGACAATAGTACCGCAGCCTGCGCTGGGATAACAAGGGAAACTCTGTGCTTGCGTAAGCTTGCAAAGTTATAGGCGAACACATACACGACAAGCAATCATTGAAACGACCCTTCAACTGAAGCTCAGTGCATCCTTCAAGCCTTCTGTGCTGGTTCTCAGAAATTGTAGCCTTTCGGTCTTTGCATGCCCTCTGGATGCTCCGTAGTCCGAAGTGGGCTTAGTTGGTAGCAGTTTTTGGAAGGCCCATGATTGCGCGTCCAGGCTTGCTTTATGGAACAGGTGATGCGGATTCGATTCCATCCAAAAATCTCAGGCAGATTGATTTCTCTAAACAAGGTGCACTACTCAAGATGGTCAAGGCAGACATTGACGTGGATGATCGTTGCGCCAAACCATACTTCTAGCGCAAAGGACCGGATCCTCCGGGGCGGGATACAAGCTGCGAACTTTGCTCGGCAATGGATGCAGCGGCGGCATCTGCAGTGGAACCTGACAACAAGACTCTCTGGGAAGATGCAGCCTCAATTGGAATGTTTTTGCGGTTCGGAATTCAACTTGTCTTTCGTGTTTTTGAGCTTGGGTGGCGGACACCCAATTCGGCTTGGGTCTTTGCGGTCTTGCAGGTTGCACCCTGCCCTGTAGAACAAAATCGTTCTTCAGTGCAGCCCCCGCTATCACATGTTCCATGCATAGTTCAAACTTCTCTGCTGTCACCATACGTCATGCATTCCCACAACGCAAGCCTAAATCTTCCCGCGATTCCTTCAGACGCCGAGTTCTGAGCTCTGTGTACTGCCCTGAACGTAAAGTTCCCGACTCTGAAGCTGACAGAAGTCAACAAGCGCCAGTTGCACCAGCTGGCCAGCGAAGCTCAACTGCCCTGTGATCTTGATCTGCAATGCGTCCTGGAGATAGCAGGTTGCTGGGCTTGAGCAAGGAGCTCTCAGGAGGTACCCAGATCAGATTCGATCCTCACCTTTCAGCACATGTCAGGTTATTGGGGAGCACTACAGTGGCATGCAGAGGACAACTACGAACATCCAAAGAACAAGAAGAGATTGGCTGGTCTTGACACTGAGGGGACGAGGTGCTGGAAAGAAAAACCACACCGGTTCAACATTGCCATTCTCGCCTGTTTGCTGGTACAGTAAGAGGAGGAGAGGCACATGATGCTCAACACTTTGCAAGAAAATGGCTTGTGCGGTTTGTACCCGTTCAGTCCCCCTGCACGATGAGCGTCGGAGCCACATTGGAGACAATCTGCCAAAGCTCGATGCTGCAACCGCTGCTACAGCATCTCAACTGTCTGTGCTGACTGCTACCGGCTCTCTTAGTTGTTGCCCAGGCACTGGAATGTTCTTGTAGGTCAGCTGCACACCAGAGCCTGCACAGGCTGATTTCGTGAAAATAGGCGAGGCTCCACGATGGTTTTGGCTTGTCTACCAAGCCTTTCTTGACACAAATAAGATGATTGCGATGGAAGCTCACTCCCTCTTGCTCGGTCTGCGATTCAACAGCACGCTCGTGGCAAAAGTCTATAGTCACAGACAATGAAAGGCTATGTGCTGGAGAGAACGTCCGAAGCTGAGGCGGTAGCTGAGCCAGAACAAGCCAGCGTCCACCGACACTTCAATCATGAATGCCTGTTGCAGAGCTTCCTGGTTATGGAGCTTGTGGGCAGAATTCAAAAAGTCAGCCAGGCAACTGAAAAATTGATTGGGGCCATGTTGAAACCAACCTACGTGCAACCTGCTGTAGTCTTTCCCTAAACTCCATCCCGAGAGACCCTGAACCTACGGACTGGAAGGACCAGAGAACTAGTGGGCCTGTGTCCTTCATTCAGGACCCTCATGACTCTATGGTTTTGCTGGGGTCAGTAACTGTCCTTCATGCTCCAGTACCTATTGCGTATTGCGGTAGCTGTCTCTCAAACCCTCCCTCAAAAAGGAGAGCCCTTTTCAAAGCCCACCTCACTGGGAATGTTCGCAGCCCGTTGAGGCGGCTGCGGCCTTGAAACTTAGGAGTTTTCATTGAGGGGATCCCCCTATCTATCTGTATATACATATATATACATACAGCAAAATACCAGAATCATAAATGTGGTGAGCCCTTCCCTAAACCCTAACCCCTTAGCCCTTGGGCATGCATCTTTGCATCCTCTTAAACCTGAACGCGGCCTGAAGGCTTCATCCTTGACGTCAGGATGGCGACATGTGTGACATGGAGTACGGGAATCGTTCTTGCTACAATCATCCTGATTACGAGGACTCCAAAAAAGGGTGACCTAATTTTTGGGAACCCGCAAATAGGCCACCATGGCATAGGCATGCTCTGATACTATCCATATCAGGTTGTTGCTTGATCCTTGTCGGTCAAAGGATGATGGAAACTACTTGGCTACTAGAATCCATAGCCAGACAAGACATGTGGCACTCAGAACCAGCCCCTGGTAGAAGCAGTATGCTCAACTTCTGTTTTCAAAACTCCGAGAAAGGCTTTGTAGCATGAGGCTTTTGAGCCAGCATTGCAAGTCGTTTGGGGCTTCTTTCCAACCAGTTCCGGCCGAAAGATGTCCCTGCAAGATCCCTGCTGTCAGATAGTAGTTTCCCAAAATAAGGGGACCCCAATATAGACCCAAAATACTATGGTCCTTATTTTGGGGACCCATAAAAAGGTACCCCTAATCTTGGGAAACTTCCAGATAGAGGCCAAGGCGGCACAAAAGACAAAGCTGCGTCGTTGTGGACCTGCAGCATTGGAAGCTTCATTTCTGAGCTACAGCCTTTCACGTGAATGACAGAAACGTAATGCTGCGGCTTAGATCTCTGCAGCCATGTCGGAGACTGGAGGAAGCATGTTGTATTCTAGTCAGACCCAAATACTCGCTGAATCCCCTCAGAAACAGGCACTCAAATTCCGAAAACAACATTGTGCCAAAGATTGTACCCACTGTACTTCGAGAAATGTAAATTACAAACACCTGTGATCCGGGCTTCCTGCAGCGCAGACGGACAACAAACATCAACAATCTCTGGCTTTGTGATTGCTCTGATTGCTTGCCCAAGTGCCATTCGAACCCTCGCTGCATGTGTAAGCGAACTCAAGCCAAATTGAAATACCGAGTTTACAACCGGGTCCCTGAATGATGTGCGAACTCTTCTGGTCATGGGCCAGAAAGGCAGTCTCCTTCTACAGAGGATCTCCAGCCCCGGACAGTATTGCACATATGACATATATTTTGCATTTCTATACCATACACCTACACTATCCTCATGACCTAATATCTCAGCACGCATGCAGGTGTATTCCTGGCGAACTCCTGTGCACATAGCATTCTCCGAAGCAAAGGTGTCCTTTCCCCCCTCAACTTGCCTGAAGTCCCGTGACCAGTCGGCCAGCCAGGCGCAGCCGCAAATCGGGAAGCCCCAGGAATCCTGCTGCCGGGGTGGGGGTGAAATGGGGTACTCTTAGGGGATACATGGTGGGTTATTGCTATGCAGTTTGCTGAAGAGGCTTGAAGGACATGTTGAGAAACTGTTTCCATCTGAGCCATAGCTGAAAACTCCTTAGAAAATCATCCAGTAGCTCCAGAATGGCAAGCGTACAGCATGATATCAAAAGCGTGGCGGGCCATACTCCAATTCATGATACTGATGGCTTCTCAGGCATTTCGTCATCATGGCCTGCGCCGAAGGCGGTGATGCGAGCAGGGCGCAACACATCCAGGATCACCTTCCAAGCTTTCAGGTGTTCACAATGAGAACTGGTCCGCAGACACAGTAGTTTGCTGAAGTTGAAGTTGAAGGAGCTAGGGTGACTTCTGGAGTTCCGGCCTCATAGGGCCAGATGCGCCGGAGGGTCGGAGCGATCATGAGATTGATCATGTGGCCTGCGGCAAAACAGCCAGGACGCCGCACACATCGAGGTTCCCAAGTTAAAAGCAATGTGCCTTCTGCAGGAAACTGCTTGCAGTTGGGCGAGTAGGTGACATAGATCTTGCGGCTCACCATTTCCTGATGGTCAGCTATGGGGTCGCAGGACCAGCACTTCCACCACCAACGACAGCACCTTACAATGTCATTGGACAACAGGATCAGCGAACTGAGAGACAGGCAACAACATCCGCTGGCAGGTCGCATCGAGCAGTGAAGGGGCCTCTTTGCACAGACTGCACAACGACGAAACTTCCTCAGCAAGTGTGGAAGGCTTTCGCAAACCTTCGTCATCTCCGATCAAGAGGCCACGGGCGGAACATACAAGCATCGGCATGCAACTGCGTGATATGCAGCCCAATGCCTAGTCCAATAGTGATAGACCCAAATGAGGGAGTCGTCGCACTACCGACATTTAACTCCATAGCGGCCCATACCTAGCAGTAGGTACTCAGTAGGAGCCCAAACATAGTTGGGAGGGTGCTCTACGAACTATGGAAATCCAAGGACAAGGTGGTGCTGCGAGTTCAAAATCCATGACCAGGGAAATATCTGGATGGCTGGAAATAAGCTCCCATTTGCGCCTTCTGGCAATGCTTGAAGACGCCAACTCTTTGGAGGAGCCTCGCTTCGTATATTTTAAGGTGCAAGGTTGGTTTCAGAGTTCGCGGAGTTCACACCCAGAATCATGCCTAAAGCTTGATGTTGAATGCGGGGCTGTTCCGATAGGCAAGCCGCCGCACAGGGCAGTCCACATAGACCGTCAGCACTTGGAACACTCTTTTTCTATTCCAGCAAGTTATGCAAAGCTTGTATTTTGAAGCCTCAAGCACTTCAGGCCTTTGAGCTCAGACAAGAGTGCAGCTTCCATTTGATGGGTGCTCCTTTCCCTATAGAATTGACAAGGCAACTCAAACTCGCTACTTGCAGAGCCGTGATCACAGGCCTTCGTTGCAACTTCCGCCCTTACAAAGTCGTACGAAGCAGCCCAATCCCCAATATAATCCCCTATATA